CAGGCTGTCTACGATTGAGATTCAAATTTCTTTGTAAATTCATTGTTCTGTTGAAAAGTGGTTAACAGGTTTTGCTAAGGGTAATGGGTAATAGTTTTTTATTTAGGAGAGACTGATCGCTTACTGACGGATAAGCGCTTAAAAGGGCGATGTTCTGGCACTTTTTTAAAAAAAAGATTATGATACACAATTGTTGGCAAACTGTTTTGTTCAGCTGTGTCCGAAAGTGTCATATTTATGATTATTATAGACAAAAGATACGTGAATGTTATGGTTATTCGTAGAGCATATTCTTCAATTAGTAAATTTTATTTTTCTCTCTGATTTGTTCTTTATTGTGAGTCATTCTATTTCACAAATGATGCTGTTGACATTGTAAAAGGCTTCCATTTCTCCTTTGGGAGAGTGCTTTTTCGACTAAAACTGAACTGTGCCGGTAAAACTTCTAGATTTATTGCCTTTCTGAAAAAATTTCGTTATCAGTACATTGCTCAGTACACTCGTTATAATGCGATTCCAGATCCCTTATTTGTGAACAATTTTAACTTAATTAAGGATTAGATTCAGAGAAAGCGTACTTTGTGGCAAGTTACCGAAAAATATATTTTATTATTTGCGCTTCATCTGCTCACGAAGACAGGGTGAAGCTGTTTTGTACGGTAAATTTATCTCTGCAGCGATCAGTTATTTCTTGCCTTTTGTGAGCATGGAATCCGTTTTTTTTAGTTTTATGGATTGAATGTTAACGATCTATATCTTTATAAAATTATTCTGTGTTTTCTAACAGTTCGTTTTTCTGAATAAACAAATTAAGGTTTGAGGTTTTGGATAACTGCCTCGATATAAAATTTGGATATAGAAATTATGCGTCTTCATTATATATTCAAATGTAATTATTTATTTGTATGGCATCATGAAATTTGAACACGTTTTTTCAGGATGTGCAGATCAGAAATTAATTATTCGCTTTGATCTCGTAAATAAAATTTTTTTTGGGCGGGTAGGTCCAAATGAGGATATTTGAAATAGATACAAAACGTAAGAAGTTCTACTGACATAAACTGATTAAGAGAGGTTTATGCATAAAGCAATTCTGTTATCACCAGATCGTCGTCCTCCTTTCTCGCTACCAAGAAGTAGAACTTTCTGCTCAATAAGTTATTTGCAGCTTGCTGCTAGTTTAAAGTTTTGCCTCTTTTATTTTATAAGTCAAATAGTTATTTCATTTTTTTCTGCAAAAGATGTCTTGCTTTAGAATCTTCTTAACAAAGCATAAAAAACGACATATTTTTTCTGTAAACGATGTAGTGTTTTTAACTTTTCTATACACAAAACTAAAATTTGTGTTTGAGGAAACTTTCATGAAGAAAAAAAAAATAGAAGGAATTTTTACAAGAAAAGCGGATAACAAATTGTTGTAAACTTTTGCTATTTGTGGAGTGTTAAATTAATATTATGAAAATAGTTGTGTTCTACGAATAATTTTGTCTGTATATCCAAAAATTTCAAGCTAGAACTTTTTGGTTGTTTTTTTTTGTTTTATTTATTACAAAGCTTTATTAATTTGAAAAAATTAACCAATATGAGAGTGTCAAGATTTGTGAATTTGAACGTTTATTTTGCTTTATCTTATTCTGTGTTTTGTAATATGCTTCTTTCTACCCATTATTAATATTCTTTTTCCTCGTTTACTGTACTGTTTTCTCAATGATCTTTTAGCATTAACTGAAAAGCAACATATTTTTTTTAGCAATGTCTCTTCCAGTTTTCCCCTTTGAAGTATATAGTTGACTGAGCGATTGCACAGAAATACCAATAAGAAAAACTGTTGTGGACAACAGTGAAATTTTTGGTTGAAATAACGGAGGCTCAAGACTGTATATCATTTGCAAAAACTTATTTTTTGATGTTTTGCTAAAACCCTCTGTTTTGCCTTCATTTAAACATTTCTACTAGTTACAATTTTAGATGACGTCAACCAATTATAGACTTCCAAACACTCTCGAGGTTTCCAGAAATGGACCATATTTTTACAAGACTCAATATCTGCTAGCATAATCAATCAGTAAAGAAGAACGGCTTTTTGTTGCACAGTTTTCTGTACATTAAAATTTTTTATGTTCACAGTGTCTGCATGCGTCGAAAGCAAAATTGAAAAGCGAAGAAATAATGTCTGTTATCTTACAATTTATTTCACAGTAGCAGTTTTGAAAGCAATGCAGTTTTACTATTTCCTGAGCATTAAAACGGTTTGTCACGCTATCAACTTCATGGCTCTTCCGTGTCGTAAAAAAAAAACATATAATAGGCCGAAAAAGTGGCAATTAAAGAAAATAACAAAATCTACTCAGATTTCGCTTTCCTGCCTGTACTAAACAGCTTTCTGATAACTTTATAGAGAGAGAAGAATAGTGCTGCAGAAAGCGATAATAACACTAGAATTAATGGAATTAAAATATCGAGAAGATAAAGTTTATAGAAAGGCATTGTTCTACCTACAGGATCCCACAAAGGTAGACGACCAAATTCAGCAGCGAACTCAACGTGTTTGATCAATAACATCTTTGAAGATGTCGGCTTTTTCCTAATCATTTTAGCTAACTTTTGGGCTTCAATTCTGTACCTAAAAATTGATTAACCGTTAGAACCGATATTTGGAAATGCACTGACGCTAAAAAAACAAAAGTTATTTTTCCCATAGTTTAATTATTTCAAAAACTAGTTACTTTTATATACAAATAAAAATGACCTTTTATTGTCAAGGATTTCTTTTAAGGCTTGAAAAAGACGGCCTCCATCATCATATCTGGAAACAACAAGCCCCGTACCGTAACGCTCTATCATTTTCCCGTTGCGAAACTGGTCGCCAAATATCGGAACAACAACCATAGGCTTTCCAATACTTATCGTTTCCACAATACTGTTCATTCCGCCATGGGTGACAAAAGCTACCAAATTTTTGTGACCTTTAACGATTGCTGTTGGATAACTGACTACAGCAGCTCTTTTCATTCGAAAAAAGAAGTACTGGAAAGACTGCAAGTCAAGTTTTAAGAGCATTCACCTAATATGTCGTTTTGAGGTAACCACTTAGAAGTAACTAGGTTTTTGTATTTGTCAAGCGGTAAATCGTCAACTTCATATTTCCAAATGAAAGTAACATCTGGAAACGATAAAAACAAATCGAGGAAGATTTTTTTGAGACTTCCAGGCATATCGCAGCTTTGAATATTTGAGCCAAATGAAACAAGTACTGCTTTGTTTCTTGTTGACAGTATCTTCTCCCATTCCTAAATTCTTTTAGTAAATCACTGCTTTAGTAGATGCAAAATGCAAGGGACTTTATAGAACAGTAAGAGGTGTACTTCATTCAGTGGCTTCACTTGTGGGTAGCTTAAGCCAGCAATTTCAACAACTTTGTGGGTAACTGGTCTAGGGAAGTCTATTAGTGGCTCAGCATTCGTTAGAACGAAGGTGGTTTGTGCTATAACGTCCTGTAAAAATATTTTGCTTTTTAAGATGAAGAACTATTTGCTTATCTTCTGATAAAAGCAACGTACGCGAAGATCAGGGAAATGCTCTCCATAATGTTCTTTGAATAATTTTTCTTCCGCGAATAGAATTCTGTTAAAAAAGTATTTCGATGTCTCTGTCATTACAAGGTTTACGAATCGCTCCATGTAACTCATCTGATCCGTAAATGAGGATAGTGTAGCTGCAAGCGTAAATTTTTTTTACTGTGTACAGACTCAGCAGTTGTACAAAAAGCCGCTACAAGTAAAACAAGAGCTTCAAGTTACATGGTACATAGCTGGGGAAGAGTGGTACGCCGACAAGGCTGGCGACATTGTCCATTAGGGATGATGCGCAGTTGATAATATGAGCGGGAATTTTGAGAACTTCAGTTAACCCTTAAGTACAAAATTCCTTTTTCAGTATTTTTTCACTTGTAATTCTATAATTTGTTGCAGTGAGGAAAAGCTTTGAGGAAGTTTTTGCATCACTGTTGTATTTGCAATCAGACATAGGTTAATGAGAAGTTGAAATAAATTTCGCAAAACACTTCAGTTAGTTATTTACTCTAACTGTATATGGCATACCAAAAGCGCAGGCGTCAAATAATTCTGTTAAAAGTACGTCGAACTTTTCGTTTTTCAGTACTTCTAGCAGTTGTTCTTGTTCGAGGATTTTTTTGCAGTTTGTAGCAAACGCTTTTTCCAAATCTTTGCTTCTCTGAAACGAGTTACCTTTTTGAAGAGTTAGTGGAAGTATTGTTGAAGAGGTCTAAGTAGAAAATAGAAAATTATATTCACTTCTCAAGTTTTCTAGAATGTCTTAAGAAGTCTCTGATCAAGTCATTTTCTAGCACAAAAAGTAGATAATTTAAATTTTTTTAGCGATATCTGTATTTACAACTAAACTAAGCAAATTAGGTTTATAAAGTATACAGAAATTATTTTTTGTTAAAATGTGACAAACGAAAAAAACTATGAGAGCTGAAGAGGTATTTTTTAGTGGTGTCAGGTGGTAGTTGTAAGTAATAAATAGCGCAAAAAAAAGAAAACTGACTGAAAAAGCAAGAAATGATTAACATTAAAGTAAGCAAAGTTTTCCTTGTTTAGAAGAGTTTTTCATCATTTTGAGAAATTATTAAGGTCAGACTTTTATTTTTTATTTTTTTGTAACTGTTAGACATCGTTTTGTAATCAAATATATTGTTCTTGGGTAAGACTAGAGATGTGTTAATTGAGGAAATCTCTTTAGTTTTGGGTTTTCCCATTTTTTTCTATTATGGCACAACTCTTCAAAGTTCACACTAACTCTGCTTTTTTTTCCGAACAAAGAATAGCTCTTGAATTATTACGCAACTTTCATGACTAGATATGGTCTTATAGTATTAGCTCACTGGAACAGCTGTTAAAAAACTCTTCTTAGCCAAAAGAAAGTGACGAGAGCGAAATTGATGATATAATGTTTGAAGATTTTTGTAATTGACCAACCAGTGTTTATCAATTTTCTAAAAAAAATTTTTTTAAATATCGATAGCACATATATTTTCAAGCGATGAGATACCTGTAGCATAGTAAAGAAATTGAAGCTTTTATGCCAAATCCGCTTTGCAAACTTGCCGTCTCCAAGAACTTTTGCAGTTTCCTCAGCTGCGGGTATAAAGATTACTTTAGCATACTTTGTTCCAGTTATATTAACAGTTGGTGAAGCTTTTGGCATCAGTATGGTCTAAAAACTAACAGAATTTATCTTCTCTCGTCGGAGACGACACTGAACTCCGCTGTTAAACAGCTTAAAAGTTTTGCTTAGAAATCATACCACATTGTGACCTGCTTGAACCAAAAAATCAGCGATATTTCCAGCGAACTTGACATGGCTCAGCGAAAACTGTGGTGAATATGATAGTATTTTGTAGGGTACGATAAATGGTAAGAGTGTTAATGATGCTAAAACTAACTGAACGTTAGTCACCATTTTAGTTCTATTCTTCTCCAATACTTGGCTTTTTTCGCCAGACTTCGGTTTTAGATGTCCTCTTAAGCTGACTAAAAATAAGGCTTGCTGTTGAATACTTAGCAGAAAAAAGTAAATAAAACGAGAATGTATTACCTCCTCGAGTTGTCCGCACATTCAAAAAATGTAAAGATAATTTGTTGTGATAACTGACTGCAAGCCGCGAAAATAGGTTAAGGTCAGTACATGAGCTTATTCATTTACTATATTAAATTTTGATCTTACTTTCTCACGTTTCTTCAAACTTTCTAAACCTTTATTTAATCAGTTATTTTGGTTTTTATCTGTTTTACAGTTTGTTAAGAGAAAAGAACAATGCGGCTATCTGCGATTAAGAAGCGCCTACCTTGTTTTAAAATCTACTTGCATCTCAGTAAAGAGTTACATAATTGTAAGATACAGATAACATAAAAATTTTTTTGTACACCTGTAAATAATTTATCTTTTGTAAGAAGATCAAACAGGCATTAATTGTTATTGCAACAGCTTTGAATACAGTTTAAAAACTGCATTTTAATTTAGTACATTTAACAGAAATTTCTTCAATAAATTTTCATTATTTCTTTTTTTTACTGTTAAATGTACTCAAATCAAGAAAGAACTTCTTTAACTAACCAAGCAGCAAAATAAAACTTCTATTTTATATCTGCTGTCACAAATACTCTCGACTCTATTCTCTATAAAAAGCATACCAGTCACTGTTTTCCAAATTTCACAAAATCTCAATATAATGCATAAATCATTACCCAGTCACAATGATCGTGCTCAGTTTTCGCTGATACGTTGTTGTTTAAATACAGTTATAAGATTTATATAAATTTTCTTAGAATCTCTTTCCCTTCTTTTCGCGAACCATAACCGTTGTTGCAAAATATAGTGCTGTTAGAAAGGTTAAAACAGTTGTCTTTGAAAATTAATTTCTTTTGAAGAACAAATTACATCTGAGCAAATTAAAAGACTTACTATTTTAATGCTTGTTCTGAAGGTTTAAAAAGACGCTTTGCATTAATCGTTACGTATCTCCATTTGTAAGTGACTTCAACACGTTTAAAGTGAGAGTTAAAAGGTAAAACTGTTAAAAAGTATATATATATATATATATATATATATATAT